TAAAAAGTGATATTTTCGACTTCTTGTTAAAAACCACAAGTCCAATTGCTTTGATATTACATATATAGGTACTACATGTGGACCTCTCAGATTTGTTCATTTTGTAATGATATCTTTAATTCTCTAATTTTGGTGAATATTTTTGTCATTTTTGGTAAAAAGTGATATTTTCGACTTCTTGTTGAAAACTGTAAGTCCGATTGCTTTGATACTATTCATATTGTTCATTTTCTAATGATGTCTTCAGTTCTTTAATTGAAATGTGCATTGCTAACAGCGGAGCTATCTCAGCCGATAGGCTGCTTGTTTCTATTATCAAATGTTTTTTTTTTTTTTGAACTATCCTTTTTTATTGCATACAATAGAAATTAGTTACAGCACAATGTCAATATACAACAAATGTCACAGCTAATATAACCCATACAAAATAGACACTGAATACCCACATTAATAATTAAAGTCTTCCCACTTGTTCAGGAAAATAGACATTGTATGTCTTCTTTTTTAAATTTCTAACTCTATCTTTTGCGTGTAATGTATATCAGATTTTATGAGATTAAAGCATGGTAGTTCCTTTTTTAATTTACACGTATAGATATTTCTTTTAACAATTATAATTATATGGTTTAGTAGAGGGGAGAAAAACTTGTCTCCTAATATAATCTGTTTTGCTGACAATGTTCTTGGGCATCCTAGTTTTGTTCCCCATAGATTAAAAACTGATGTCCAAAGGACTTTAATTGGCTCGCATTCAAAAAAAAGATGCACTAGGTTCTCGGTGGTACCATGACAAAATGAGCATAAATCTGACGATACTAATGGTGAATTCATATGGAATAACATTTCATTTGTGTACAGGATATTGTGGTTTAATTTCCACTGAAACTCCCATAGTTTGCTGCATAGAGTTACCAAAAAAGGCATGGAATAATGAAATTCCCAATCCTTGTTATCCAGATTACACAAAGTATTAAGAAAGAGTTGACTTTTGGGTGTTGTAAAAACATGGGAGGTGAACAGTTTACCTAATTGCTTTTGGGTGGTATTTTCAAGTACAATTATCTGTTCACCGGTGACTAGACTAATAGGAGGCTCGGGTCGTACAAAAATTGCACGGCTATTCCTCCAGTCTAATGGCAGTGCAGAGATAATGCCATACCACTGAAGTAGCTGAACATTGAGCCCCAGTGCTTGGAGATTAGCCCAATTTTTAATTTTCCCATTTGTGTCAAATATATCTGCAATATAAATTATTCCTGCATTAAAAAACGCTCTGTAAAAGATACTTTTATTTTGAATGAGATATTTTTGTTATTCCATATGATTTCATATTCATGTGAGATGTTTTTATTAGACCCAACTTCACTCCACTGTTTTAGTAAAGTGCATAGATAATGGGAGT